ACACATCATCCACATCAAAGTGGTGCCGCTAATACTCGAAGGGACCTCCAATTCTTCTCGATAACCAACGTGTAAAATCCCCCTGCTTGTTCCAACTATTGACTGACTGCAAATTACTTCAACAGAAATCCACGACAGCAAGTTCCCTTTGATATTTGTAAACCTGTATGTTCTAGATTTTCTCCCAACTCCTGCAGTTGTCTGAGTGATCTCTCCATATTTCCTAATTGTTGTTTTCCACGATCATTTTTTCTGACTGAGAAAAGATCGTTGTAAAACAAACTTGTGATAGTATATGTATCACCATATTTCTCTATCAGTACCTCTCGAATGAGACTACTGTGCTAGTTGCCAAAGACTATACTTCATAGAGAAGGAAGCAGTATTAGTACCACTGAAATTTAAAGAAACACAAACCTTAAGAATAAGCATGACTCTTTTACCTATTAAAGCTGCAACACACTGCTAACTTCTGTAAAAATGAAACAGTTCGGAAATCCAAGCATTATTTTGCAAAAAATCATTTTGAGTAAACTGTTGCGAGCCTGTTCAGTTGCCGAAAAATCTCAATTATGCATTAAATGAGATTTGCTAAAGGTAATGAAGGCTTTTCTCTCTTATACTCTCTTATACTACTTACAGCAGTGATCCACTACCTCCTTGCACCGATAAGCCTAGTGGTTCAATCCGCTCCTCACTGTTACCTGGTACTGGTAAATCCAACAGCTCTGTTTGCTCTGTTTGTACCTCATCAAATAATATGAAATTATCAGTCTCACACTGTGTTAGAAATTTGAATCTTCAAAATACTATAGTGCTGCGTTGTATTTTTAACTTTAAATGAATTTACTGTAGTTTGAATGTTACTCAGTCGGACAAAGAAGAAAACGAAACAGATGAAATGCATATTTGGGTGAGCATTTTCTTGCCTATTCTGAAAAACATTCAAGTTTACTAATGCAATGAATGATTACTTATAAGAAATAAGATCACCTACTGTTTGACAACTGCGTAATGAAGAAATTTCTTCCGGTAAATGTTTTCCCAGATATATTAACATTGAAAAAACGAACGATTTCGATTTGTCGCTAGTATAATACAATTGCATTTCTCACTCAAACGATATGCATAAGAAGTTATTCACGCTGCGAATCGGTAGCAAACATTCGAAAGCGAAGTCTTCACAAAGTTCATAGTTACAAATTTAATAAAAGGATAATTTTATTTTGAAAAAAAGTAGCTTATTTACAGGTCCGTCTTGAAATTCCAAAATCTCTCATAGCGTGATACTTTGAGAAGTAGTAGATATTCTCTATCGAAATAAATGGAATAGAACCTACCAGATAAAATTCATGGGAGAGAATGTGACACAAACGATCAGACACTTCTTTTGTTGGTAATGTTCAAGTATCGTCTGCATTAATGCTCATCCAAATGGGAATGGCAAATTATTTATATTGATAATCTATGTCCACGTGTAATAATGTAATAATAGCAATTGCTGTTTAATCCTTTATACGAATAATTTCATTTTAGCTGCTATATTCCACTGTCAAAATTTTATTTCAGTGGGAATATATTTAAAGGAAAGAAAGCATGCTAACATTGGAAGTATGATAAAATCCAAATTATTATTTGAGAGTTGTTAATGGAAATTGAGAATAATGATGACTGTAGAACTTTTAAAATAACAGAGTAGGAGAATCATTGAATAAAATGATGACGTGAACGTCTTCTAAATTCGTCCGCTTTGTCGTTCACCTCGACTAAAAAAACAAGGAATCTTGTTATTCACTATAACTCATGTACCTGTGTCAAAAATCCCTTCAGTTTGAACTAATCCATGAACAGTAAAGAGCATCATATCAGGACCAATCGGAAATTCGAAATAATCATTGTATTTTTGTGGTGAATCGGTGGGTCTGATTACACATAATCGTTTCACTGCTATAATTTATAAAGCGCAGACCTCAATCTTAGTTATCAGTTGATTAATAATTAACAAGCATGATCCTCATACTTCTACCTATTCCGAATATTCGAAAAGATGTAAAATGGCATTTCTGAAGAAGTTGTTTTCTTCCTCGCCCTTTTTTTACCGCAGAAAATTCGAAAGCCTGAGCTGAATTTCAAATAATACAACTTGAAATGGAGTAGAAAAATCCAATTTCTTATTACATTCCTCACATAGATACGCATTATCGTTGTTGAACGTTTATTGTTTTACCTTGCCCATATTCTGTAAGCCAATTAAGGAGTTTTTATGACAACGCACGTCAACTGCGATTGATGTAAACGTTGATATCTGGATATTTTCATTAAGAAATTACATATTCAAGCAAAAACAAGAAATGAAAAAAAAGACAAAAAATGAATGACAGCAAAAAGTTATTTTCCATTCATCCGACTTTGAGCATAAAATTTCTCCGACCGGTAAGATGAAAAAAGAAATATTAAATTTAGAATTACATGGTTATGAAATGCCCATGCAAGTCGCAGAAGACATTCAGTCCAACTGTTGTTATCTGTGGTGAATAATTGAAAATGTTTTAATAATTTTTCTTCAAAGATTTTCTTTCTTTTAAACAACCGTTTAATTTGATTAACGATATTCCACAGTCTTATTACACACAATCCAATTTGACTGGGCGACATTCATTTTGCTGACTATTTCTAATTTTTAACCTATCTCCGTAAGCACAAACAATTTCTGGCAGCTTCGAAACGTATGAATTGTGACACTTTTCTTGTCTCAAAATTATAATAGCTTTCAACAGTAAAGCATATGTTGCGAATTTTGATTCGCGAGACTCCAACCATACAAATATATAATCAAATAAATTTCCTATTGTAAATCACCTAACCAATTTACATTCTTTAAAATAATCTTTAAAATAATCTCCCAAAT